TTATATATATTGTGTGAATGGATGTGTGCATAAAGAAATGCAAAAAGGAATGGTCACTAAAATGTTAACTCAGGTTGACAAAATTTTTGTTGGCTTTTATCTTCTTTGACTTAAATATATTGTTTGAAATTTTTATAATTTCAAATTTGTATGAAATCAAATTAAAAATTTTTTACAGGTGAAATTTTTAGGATTCTCCTAATTCCCAGCGTCTGTGAACACTTTCCATCCACCTTGCAGTGGGAAGATCATAAGACTTCTGTGTGTATATACACATGAGGATATCCTGATCTCTCAGTAATTTTGTATGTGATCATGGTATGCACATTGCGGGATTTTCTTACAGAGTGTGCTCTTCTTTCGTCTGCTGGGTTTCTTTCCTTGTCTTGCCGTGTTCGGCTGGCAGTAGTGATGGTGGTGGTGGGTTGACATCACGATGATAAAGAACTGTTCTTCAGCCCAGGGAACAAGAGTGAGAACAGGAAGGTGAGGAATGGAAGAAGAGCCAAGACAAGGTGGTGCATCTGAGCTGGCTCATCCTTCCAAGGAAACACAACCCACTGACGTGGGACGTCTCCAGAAAGGTCTTTAAAAGTCCACCCAAGGGGGCAGGTGGGGAGAGGAACACCTACCTGGGCTCTTTCCCTTCCCTTGTCTGTCACGGGTCAGAAGTTGCCCATGGGACACTCTCTCCACTTCCAGGTGTGTCACCTGGGCCTTAGGGGCAGTGGCTGGAGAAGCCCGTGCTTCTGGGGGCCTGACCTGCAGCTCTTGCCAAGCAGGGTGGAGACTTTGCCAAAGCCTGAGACGTGGACTGTGGGGAAGCCACCAAGCACAGGCCTGGGCTCTCACTGAGCAAGTGACCAAGAACTGGGTACAGGGAAGGCCAAGGAGATCTGAGGATGTGGCTGGCCATGCCCAGAACAATCTCCAGCAGGTCAGAGGAGAGGGCTGGGCTGAGACGGAAGGCTGAAGGGTCAGCATGGAGAGGGTGTCTAAAGCCCTGGGCCTGGATAAGCCTGTCACAAAGTGTCGACAGAATGAGCGTGCCCAGGGGCTGAGCACCGGCTCCCTGAGGCTGAGAGTTTGTGGTGAGGAGGACGAACCAGCAAAGGAGACCGAGAAGGATCACGAGGAAGAAAGGGGTCAAGAGGGCTGTGTATCCCCCAGGAAGGTCCCCCAGGTCACAGCCGCTCCAGGTGTGGATAAAGAGCCCCTTTCTCAAAACCCACTGACCACGCAGGGTGGGTTTTTATCCTGTGTCATCATCTCCTAGGAGAAATCCCTACAGATATGTGGTTATGGGGCCAGGGGTTCATACATTTTGCCCCCCAAACAGGCTGCATCACTTCATACCCTGTGGAGGTCACCTTGGAGGGGGGATACGCAGGGCTGGATTACCCAGTAAGCAAGGTAAGCACTAATCTGTAGCGCACAATTTCACATTTTTTTCACATCAAAGACTGCTTCTAGGTGTGGGTGACATCTGTCTCTCTCAACCCCCACAGCACCTTCCTACAGAATCAAAGCCTCTTTTCAAATTTATAATCCCTGACAGGGGCGGATGACCCAGTGAGCAACGTAAGCACAGTCTTTTTTCATGCCTTTTCGATTCCTTTGGAGACACCGAGAGAAACAAGTTCTTGGAGCAGTTACACCCCCATCCAGCCCCCACACGCTCAGGCTCGCTGCAGCTCAGGGTGCAGGACCGAGTCGGCGCTGCGCACTCCGTGTCCCTTAGCACTCAGTCACTGCATCGAGGGTCTGTGAGGGGAGGGTCCACGAGGGGAGGGTCTGTCGGGAAGGTTCGTGAGGGGTACCCTGTCCGACTCCACGAGTCAGTTCTTCCCAGGTGGCAACAGCAGCAGCACTGGGGAACCTGCCAGAATGGACGTCCATTCTTGGGTTCACCCCAGACCTATGGAGTCAGACACTCAGGGTGGGGCCAGGCAGTTTTAATGGCTTCGCAGAGGATTGAGACTGCTGAAGGTTGAGAGCTGCTGAGCGGAGAGGTGTCGTCCTGTTCATGCAGAGAGGTCTCCATCTGTTCCCTCCAGCACCTGATGATGCTCCGGCCCAGGCCCACAGCCTGCGCCACAGTGGGGTCCTTTAAGGTTGACCAGCAGTAAGCGGGCCGCAGCGTTCTGAAGCTCCCCCCAGCCCGGGTTCAGCCCCGACACAGTGAGAACAGTGTTGTGTGGTGTAGGTGGCTGCTTTCTGGGGAGAGCGGCCAGCACCCTCACCAGTCTCAGTAATCCCTCCACCCCAATAGGAGTCAGTACTGTGGCCTCAGCGAGCCCGCAACCCATGGAGACGGGGAACGACCGGCGGAGTCAGGGAGCACAGGTTCTGGCTGGTTCTGCAGTGTGGCCAGGCCTTGCTGGGCCAGCACCCCTCAAGTGATGGAGGGGTCCCCACAGTCGCTTTCTCCTAGTGTTGTCTCATTACCCTCCAGTCACTGGGAATGTCTGGAGCCCTGGCCACCGCTGAGCGCAGTCCTACCCGCCTAAGAGGGCTGGCTGCTGCTTGTAGCCCTTGCCCATACCACAGGCGCCCCCTCCCCAGGTCCAGGACATGTTCTTAGGATTCATTCAGGACCCCTGCATCCAGCCCAAGGACTTCTCCAGAAAAGGCATTTATGATGACCCAAAACGTTTCTCAAAGCTGTTTGAGAAGTACAAGCAAGCCAGCCAGCTCAAGCTTGTCACTCTGGAGCCTGGAGACAAGACACCTTATGCCATCATCCTTAAATACAAATATATCTCTGTCCATCCGTCTGGTCTTCTGGCCCACGACCTAGGAGCCTCTTTACAATCTGCTCTAGGCCCATATTTTCATGCCCTGAAGGAAAAATGATGTGGGCAGCGGCCCATTTCCCCTTCCTGGCAGGCCGCACACGAACATCCAGGGTCTGCTCAGGAAAGACTATGTTCTGGTGCTGGTCGGGGTGTGACCACAGGGGTGACCCCAGGGCAGGCTGGATTTCAGTGTTCTCCGAGGTAGAAGACCCCACACCCTATGGGAATCAGGTGCTGGGGAGTCTGGGGTCCTGAGCCACTGCCAGGTCCTCGGAGGCCAACGCAGGATACAGGGGACTCAGAGGGCCCTCTGAGGCACCAAGATCTGGGCTATCTCAGTGAACTCCCTCCCCAGGACCACCTGCACCAGCCTCACTCGGAAATGGCTGCTTTAAAACACATCCATGGTGGGTCTAAAGGTGACACGGGAGATGGGGACACGTGCGATTCAGCTCCGCACCGAGGGTACTTTCATCCGCTGGAGCCAAGAAGGCCAGGGATGCGGAGGGAGTGCCCAG